GCAGGGCAGACCCTACAATGAGAGGCTACGGGACCTGAACCTGTTCAGTCTTCACAAGAGAAGGCTGAGGGGGGACCTTGTGAGTGTCTATAAACTCACTAGCGGGGGAACAGAAGGGTTTGGGGGAGACCTTGTTTCCCCTAGCACCCCCCGGGATAACAAGGAATAATGGCCACAAGTTGTTGGAGAGTAGGTTTGGATTAGACATCCGTAAGAACTACTTCAGTTAGGGCAGCTAGGATCTGGAACCAACTTCCAAGGTAAGTGGTGCTGGCTCCTACCCTGGGGGTCTTTAAGAAGCAGCTTGATGCCTACCTGGCTGGGGTCATTTGAGCCCAGTTTTCCTCCTGCCCAGGCAGGGGGTCGGACTTGAAGATCTACAAGGTCCCTTCCGACCCTACTTCTATGATTCTATGATTGTATGAGTGTGAATCTGAGGAGAGCTTGGAGAGAATCCTTTGGGGTCCGAACAGGTTTGAATCCATAGATTCATAGATGCTAGGGTCAGAAGGGACCTCAATGGATCATCGAGTCTGACCCCCTGCCAGTGGCAGGGAAAAATGCGGGGGGCAATGGGCCCCAGCCCCGTGCCTGGTCATGTGACCCCAGTCCGGTGCTTGTCCAGTCTCCTCTGGAAGACCCCCAAGGAAGTGGAGAGCACCACCTCCCATGGAAGCCCATTCCAGATTTTGGCAACCCTCACCATGAAGAAGTTCTTTCTGATGTCCAACCTGAATCTACTCTCTATCAGCTTGTGGCCATTGTTTCTGGTTATGCCAAGGGGTGCTCTGGTAAACAGAGCATCTCCTATTTCCTGCTGCCCCCCACCCTGGTGAATTTGTATACTGCCACAAGATCCCCCCTCAGCCTTCTCTTCCAGAGGCTGAAAAGGAGGCTGAAAAGGTCCAGGTCCCATGACCAAAGTGAACCATCTTGTGTTTGACTCTTCCCATACCCAGGGAAATAGAGCAGAAACTATATATTTGTAAAGAAAATCTAAGGCACCTGGTTTCATCTTTCATATCACCTTCCAGCCCAGGCAACTTATTGGATCTCAACATTTTGCCAGAAGCTGCCAAGGCCCAGCTTCTATCTAAGCATTTGGTTCAAGAAGGAGGTTTCTACTCTTTTTTGTGATCTAGTCGTACACCACAGGTCTTAAAGTTGAAAGTCCGCAGGCAAACTCTCCTCACTCAGGCAATGCAGGCAATAGTTGTAAACTCTTCCACAAAAAATACCCAAAAAACAAACAGACACCCCCCCACCCCCCCAAAAAAAAAACAATCTGTACACATGCCTTGTCCAGTAGTGGACCATCTTTAATAATAGCTTTATTCTGTTTGTCTGGAGCACTCAGATTGGTTGTCTTGGCAGCCAATTACCATGCTTACTGAAACAACCAATCAGAGTGCTCTGGACAGACAGAAGGCAGGCTCTGCCAAAAGAAAAAAGAGGAAAAAAAAGCAGTGAGGGGCCTGATCCTTTTTTTCCCCCCAGAACCTGCCTGCCTCTTCCACAGCTGGGGCTGAGCAACCAGCAGGCCCTGAGCTGCAGGGGCCCTGGTGATTCCCTCCACAGTAGTGGCGTCCCCTGGGACCGCCCCGGGTGGGGTGCCAACAGGTGGGTGCTGCCCAGGGGGTGCTGCCACCGTGGAGGGAAGCACCAGGGTCCCCCGTAGGTCAGGGCCTGCCAGCAGCTTGCTCCATAGCTGCAGGAGACGCAGGCAGTCTCTGGAAAAAAAAAAAAGAAAAAAGATCAGGCCCCTCACTGCTTTTTTCTTTTTCTTTTCCTCAGTGAAGCTTGCCTGCATGAGTTGCCACCAGGTCGCGCAGCCACTGAGCTCTGTGTGTGTGTGTGTGTGTGTGTGTGTATGTGTGTGTGTGTGTGTGGGAGGTGTTTCCCACTGCGGTGGTGGTGCCCCTCAGGGCTGCCCAGGTGGGGTGCTAGCTGCACGGGTGCAGCTCCAGCTCACAGGCAACACCCACTGATGCACGGGGTGCTGGAAGCTCGGGTGTGCTCAGGGAAGCTCAGGCTTGGCATGCTTCCAGCACACTGCACCTTCCCTGCCACCTGCCCACCCCCTGGGACTGCCCAGAAATGGGCTGACTGCCCCGGGAAGTTGACAGGAGAGCGGTGGGGACGTGCCTTTCGAGGGTGAGAAGTTTTGGTTCCGTTATAGTATTCAGTCCAAGGATAACTAAAAATCCTGTATTTGAAGAAATACTTTTGCAATAAAAAATTAATCACAAATGTTTTTGTGTTTCAGCTAGTTACTCATAATGCCCTGAGAAGGGCAGTAATTTAAAGGGGGAGATGGCATTCTCCCAGTGGTAACATTTTGCTCTGTGGGCTTCCCAGGGGTTTGAACAATGAGGTTATTAACCAGTCACTGCCCTCATGTCTAACTGCTGCCAGGGTCCTG